TAAGCCCTCGGTCAGACTCGGCGATTGCGTCGCTGACACCAGCGAGACCGCCAGCGACGGAGCCGCCAGCGACGGAGCCGCCAGCGACGGAGCCGCCAGCGACGGAGCCGCCAGCGACGGAGCCGCCAGCGACGGAGCCGCCAGCGACGGAGCCGCCAGCGACGGAGCCGCCAGCGACGGAGCCGCCAGCGACGGAGCCGCCAGCGACGGAGCCGCCAGCGACGGAGCCGCCAGCCACAAGAGTGGGCAACGGGCGATGACTCATCACACGATCGATCGATCACACTACTAATTTGTATGAAATTTTGGAATGTGGCACTTCGCTCGGCGACATAATAACTAGTCTTTTACATAATTAAGCTTAAGGTAAATTAGCGATCAGGACCTCTAAGTCTTTTCATAGTTTTAAGACACAATGAGGAGTTTGAACTATATCAAAATACTTTTGTACGTATGAACTTCTAGAGTTTTTAACCACCATCCCTTTGAAATCCGAGTTAGCCTTCCAAACGTTCAATTCGTTTCCCAGCAATGTGTACTATGAAAGCTCTCATGTAGTTACATTTTGTCTATTGGTAAAGTCAAAAATCAGAAAGAAAACGTTAAGGGTTAATCTCCCCCCTGCCAACCGATATCGATCGTGTGATGAGTCATCGCCCGTTGCCCAGCTCCGTCGCTGGCGGCTCCGTCGCTGGCGGCTCCGTCGCTGGCGGCTCCGTCGCTGGCGGCTCCGTCGCTGGCGGCTCCGTCGCTGGCGGCTCCGTCGCTGGCGGCTCCGTCGCTGGCGGCTCCGTCGCTGGTGTCCAGCGACGCAATCGCCGAGTCTGACCGAGGTCTAAGATGTCGTATAAGACTTTCGATTTCCCTTGTCCCCGAAATGGTCTTCGTCTTTCTCTAGTTTGACTCTCGCTGTACGACATGGACCAGAGCCCACATATAAATTTATTTAGCTGTGTTCCATAGTAGAGATTATGCAACAAGATGTCACCGTGCGACATTGCGCCACTTTGTTCACAATCTGTCCAAGATAAGTAGCGTGGTCCACAGGGTGTGGGTACTTAGGACAGAACGCGACTTTTTCGCTCATCGCAACGCGACATCGCGCGGCAGGCTGGCGCACCAGCGAAAACAACTACGGTATGGAAGAACGCGCGATTGGAGCAGCTTTTTTGCATGCGTGAATTTGTAAGTCTGATTCCTTTTTTCTTACTTGCCCGCGCTCACACCCATTGTATTGATAAATGCAGTGAATCACTTTCGTCTCATTATTGAAAACGTTTTGTGACTTACACGATTCCGGGCGATGCCACACAAATGGTGTTTTACGAATTATCGGTGAACGAGGGTTTAATAGTGTCGCTTGTGCTTGCATTTTGTGGGTTCATATTGTTGTATAGACATCTGCATAAGGGTATAACATCTTTTACGGAACGCTTCTGTCCTCATTACGGATATGATACTCATTTTTGACGCTGGCGCCATTTGGGGCCGGGTGGCGCCACAACTGATTCCCACTAAATTCGCTGTAAACTTCTGTATAGGGGTTATTCGGGGTCCTGATTTGTTGTTAGCGCTATTCGGCGCCTGCTTCCTGCTCGTCTGCGCCCTCGCACTAATTAGATCGCAATAGGACTAAGCCTTTGAGTAGTGTAGGGCTCCAAAGTGGGTAGGCCATTCCCCTGTGGTCTGACACACTCCAACTTTTGCCACACGGTGCGTGGTTTACCCACTCCGGAGTTTCACTCCCCTCCCCTAAGCTTAGTCGTAGGCGCTGTAGGTGAGAAAGCTTAGAAAAGCAGAAAGTATGCGTTAAACAGCACGAATGTGAAAAATGAGTGTCATATTCATGATCAGGGCCCCAAATAACCCCTATGCAGAAGTTTACAGTCGTCTCATCAAACGTCCATCAACCATTCCTCTTCCAGGTTCTCCAGAAGCTCTACCATCCATCTCTGCAAAAATAACCTACCTCCCTCTTCACTGCTAGTTAGCGGTCCACTTCTGGTTACCATTTCCTCGTTCATTATCAAATCCATGGCTATTAAGCTTCAAACTCCTTGTCGCAATCAAAGCCGACACAAATATCGTGCTCCAATCGCGCGTTCTTCTATACCGTAGTTGTTTTCGCTGCGGGTGCGCCAGCCTGCCGCGCGATGTCGCGTTGCGAAGAGCGAAAAAGTCGCGTTCTGTCCTAAGTACCCACACCCTGCTCCAAGAAATCAACGTGCACAGCGAATTAAACTTTGCACCATGCACGATCACACCGAGGCCCAGCGAGATTCAACTATAACCAGCGACTCAATAATGGGCTATCGTTAGACATTCAAAGGCAGCCCGCCACTTTACAAGGCCATTGACACACGTGACACTGTTTGAAAGTGGCGGGCTTTTTTTGAACGTTGGGTCCCGCCACTATTGAGTCGCTGGTGCTAGTTCGATTCGCTGGCGCAACGCTCGGATCCAGCGATTCGCTAGCGAATCGTTCGATTCGCAAACTATGACGTCGGCCTAACGGGACACATGCCTAGCGTTGATTACCTGGTTCCACAGACTGTTTCGTGATGGGGATATGATGTTGAAGTTTGTCCGAACTAGGACCTACCGTCATCGTGCTAAGACCGACGTCACACTCGGCGACGGACAAGCGAAGGGCGATCGCGATCGCCTATCGCTTGTCCGTCGCTTGCCAAGCGCTCGACCGTGAGGATGCAAGCGATTGCGCAATTGCTTTACAATGTGCAGAAAGCGACGGCCGATGGCTCTTGCTTCAATTTCGAGACCGCAGCGACTGATCAACCTGCGCGGGCCAATCGCCACGTCGCTGTCATCTTTGCAATGCCATTTGCGTCAATCGTTGCATCGTTCGTCGAGCGATCGTCACGATCGCTTCATCGTGCCCGGGCCCGAGTGTGATCGCTCGGTCTTAGGCTGGTGTCAGAGTCCGCGATCCGTCGCGCAGGTTTCGCTGATTTTCGCGATTTGCGCGATTCACGCGACGGATCGCAAAAATTGCAAGTGTGTGAACATTTGAAACACTGAATATGAAACAAGTGGAATCATGAGCAGTCGTCATTCAGCCATCACTATCAAGCAGAAGTGGCGGCAGGATTGGAGAACACCTTGCAGTATTGATCGGGCACTTGTGATTTCCGTGACCCGTCGCGTGAATCGCGAAAATCGCGCAAATCAGCGACGGATCGCGGACTCTGACACCAGCCTAAGCCTTCACGCGCTACACCTCGCAATGTTGTCTGCACCCATTTTGCACGCAAATATGATCTGCCAGTGGCGCGACGTCGCGTGATGACTTTTTGCTAACACCCCCTAACTGGGGCTGTACGGCGCAGTATTATAATTCTCTACGAACGGTAAAAGCGTTTGAGATCGTAAACGCATGGAACAGCGTTAGTGGTCAATCGGGCTCCAAATCATTGGTCTCACTGTGGCTTCCTTTTTCAGCAAGACATGAACCCCGATGATGAGGACAATCGCTATCTCATGGATTGCCTCGATCTTCTTGTTGCTGCGGGATATTTTCGAGCACGAATTAAAGGCCTTGCTACGTTTGACAAGGTTTGACCGCTTTTGTTCGAAAATGTTACTTATCTAACCAAACATTTGAGTTAAGCTCTTTCTCAATACATTAGTCAAATAGCGAATCAGGGCCGAGCTGCCATAGTAGGCGTGTGCCCGAGACGCAGCTTTCAATATCTGCTTTTTTACTTCATGTCGTAGATCCTAGTCTTTTAATTTGACGCTTCTTCATCTTCTATTTGTTGCAGATTGTTGGTGGGATGGTGTGGTGTTTATCTCACTGCAATCAAAAAATCGATACTTTTCTTGTATTCATCGAAGATCTAGATATAGGACATAAAATGTACGAGTTGACTACCATTTTTTGTGGTAACTGTCAAAGTTCAATTGATTTGCTGGTGTACATCCTTTCAGCACTCTAACGGAAAAGGTAGTGCGAGTTTTGACTGATATACGATGTCCACATCCTATTGAGCCACATCAAATACAAGGACTCGACCTTCAGAATATTTATCCAGTCATACAGGTAGAATACTTCGCTAAGAAATTTTTTTCGGAAGTATAGTATTTTGGAATGTCCCATCTCTGAACTATGAGGGACGAACTTTCAGCCAGTTATCCGTGTAGGGTAAGATCTGTGGATGGATTATGACCGAGCTTCCTTCAACCCACATCTGTCGGGGTGTGGTTCACTAGGACAGAAAGCGACTTTTTCGCGTTTCGCAGCGCGAAACATTTTCGCTGCGGGAACTCTCAGGTCCACCGCTGATCATGAGTGGACCTGGAGTTCCTGCAGCGAAAAATGTTTCGCGCTGCGAAACGCGAAAAAGTCGCTTTCTGTCCTAGTGAACCACACCCCATCTGTCGCCGCCTACGATTGTGTTCTCTGCTAACCTCCGTCTCAACCCCAGGGGCTCTATCTCATTTGCAGCCAGCGTTCGTGACGAGACACCCGGCTGGGACGAAGTCGGTGGCATGGTAGACATTGTTCTAGTGAACCTGAGTGAATTTATGATCACTGCAATAGTTAATGACCTCGTTCGTTTTTACTGTGAAGTAGTGGAGCCCCTGGATCCACTTGCAAAAATGTGCATTCAAATGGTGACCTTATAAAAACAACGCATATTACGGCTTATTCTCGTGATTTCAGTGGCTGTGAAGATTGGCGCGATGGATTCGAGGCTGTTAGTCGTTGCAGAGTACCTCAAAATCAATTATATTTGATATCAGCTTAAAACAAAGCCTGTAGAGGTCAGTTTCGACTTGTCACTATGATGATGTTGCAGTGCTAAATCAGGAGTTTTCGTTGATGAAAAATGGTACAAAGTAGCAATGATCACATAGTCTTGAAGCTGTGAAATCGATGCCAACTCGAAAGAAGGGGCATCAAGAGGCGACTAGGTTTGGGGCTGGAGGCTCAGTGCCGGCGAAGGCGGGAAGCTGGATACGGTATTTACCACTGCAAGTGACGGTCGCAGACATAAGGTGTCTGTTCTGCTCACATCTGGAAAAGGACTCATATTAACAAGCTTGATGTATCTTCCAGCAGAATTTGAGTTCTACAGGATAACAGGAGATTTCGTACTATCGATAATGCATCGGCTCAGCTCAACCCCTCTCAAACACGAGCGGGGTGCTGGACGGACGGTTATTACACTGTTTATGTTTTCAACCTCTTCACAATTCTTTTCATTTACCGCCACCCCTCCTTTACCATTACTTAACTTGGTCGTGACATCACTTGTTGCTTTTTCTGTAAGGCTGGTGTCAGAGTCCGCGGTCCGTCGCGCGATTCGCGCGAATTACAAAAATTGCAAGTGCCTGATTCTTGGACATTTGAATTACTGAATATGAAACAAGTATGAATCTGAAACACTGAATAGGATCATGAACAATCGTCATTTAACTCACATCGGCAGCAGAAATGGCAGGCGTCACACACAGTATTGAATCGGGGCACTTGGTTGATTCTGTGGTTCCATCGAGCGGCTCTGACACAGCGCGCTCAATCGATATATTAAGCGCTCTAAAAAGAAAAAAAGAACAGATTCTGAACCATTTTAACAATTTTTCAACCTCTCATCACCATTTGTCGAAAATCGTTCAGGTGCCTCAAATCAGTCATTACTCAAAAATTTACAACGATCTTCACGAGGCGATCGTCCGCAGAGAAAATTCAAACGGGGATAGTAACTTAAAAATCTCCACGTTACTTGAGGATGCCTACTGCACACTTGCAGAATTCGGAAAAGGGTAAGTGAATCATTGGAAGATGAGTTTTATTTCAGTGGCAGAACTGTGAATTTCAGGCCGGCCAGGGACGTGAAGCTGGAGGGTGGCCTCGAAGGCGCATCTACTACTGTATTTCAACCTGATAATCTGGAGGAACTGGGTGAGAGGAAACGTCTCAAAGTTTCCACGAAGACAGCAAAGAAAATATTCGAAGAAATCGACGTTCAAACAGCAATTGTGAGTTTTTCAATCAGCAGTCCACAGCGTTGACTTGAGTGAATTACGGAGATGCGCGCATTTTCCTTGGCAAAACTACGAGGGCGGAAGGTTGCTATATAGTCGATGATCCTAGGAAAAGCTACGTGTCGAGAAAATTTAGTCAGTACGGCTCCTACCCAATTGCACGGTGAATACGACCCCACTTCCTCTTTCTCCTTCATGATATGCTACGCCCCTTTCACGTCTACCCCCTCAGTCAGGCAATGATGACGACCGTGTTGACCTGGTACCTACTTGCAGACCATCTGTAAACGCCGCTCCCGAAACGCCTGAAAAGAAGTGCATCGAGGAGTGGGCCAGGTGTAGCTATGTGCGACTGCATCAAATTTCGCGCTTTTACCGTTTTCTCACTTTCCTCATTGTCTCTGAACGCACAACCTGTAATCGGTCTTGTGCTCCCTTCCTCCCGTTAATGTAAGGTAAATAAGTCTCTCACTGATCGTGATCCACCCTGATTGCAATCTGGTTCACTACTATTTTTTTTCTTTTTCTGCAAGTTTTCAAAAATATTGACTGCCATTTGAGGATAACGCAACTGCTGCTGGAGACAGTGAAGCCGCGTACAAGATTAAACTTGAGGAGGTATATTTTATACTATTTCTTGACAATTATTGTCGAATATTTTATTACGTGTGTAATGTAGCTGCCTTGATCAGTGTTATAGTTGGTGTAATGAAATTCAGGCAGAGAAAAATCTTGAAGAGCTTGAGAAACAACTCAGAGCTAAGGAACAAGAACTCGTTGAAGCAGAGGCCGACTATGAAGCTGCTTTGAGAAAGGAAAAAGAAGTGGAGGAGATTTATAAGCGCTTCACACCAGAGTACGTTTGAGAACTTGTACATATGGAGTGAGTGTCGGGTACCCCGTTCATCTGAAAAGCTACATTTAACTGCCACATGTTTCTTATTGTACATGCGCACATAACCCACTTACCCCCTCAGGGCAATTTTTCACAGGTTATTTTGTAAACATACAAGCGTACCTGCGCTCGGTTCTTGGGGTCGCCTTTGTCGTAGAGAACACATGTCAGCTGACTGAATAAGATTCTTTCTTCAGTAGGGTCGTAGAAGGCCTAAGCAGATATAAGCAAGTTTGGCGAGCAGCGAGATTTTTTGACCCATGCATTCCTGCCCATAGCGTAAGAACTAGTTTCCCTGTCTTGAGGCTGAAACCAATTTCTACCCTCTTTGACCTATACGGGTATTACTGGTAAATTTCTTTACATTCCACTATATTTAGCTTTTGGCTTCATGTTCTTCTTTTGCAAAACTTCCTTTGAATTCTGGTTTTTTGGTTAGGGAACCGTTTTTTTTGCGCAGAAATGGCTATTATCTTTTCTTTCTCATTCTTGTATAAGTGGTCCATATCAAATTCGGTGACGCTGCCCTCGGCTGCACCTGGTTGCTGGTCATAGTTTGTTATAGGCAGCGGCGGATTATTCACTGATGGAGTGGCAGCCAGAAGGTTATAGGTTGAGCTCAGACAAAATTATGAACTCATTATGACGTGTGATTCGTAAATATTGAACTTCCAGCGGTTTTCGTAGCTTGTAAATTTTGCAAAAACAAACCTTACTAAATTATCTACCTATTTCCACTTTATTCCTACGACGAAGTTCTGTTGAATATGGTTCAGGGAAATAGAAGAAGCACGCATGCTCATGGCCGAGGTTGAAGCTATGAAAAAGCGCGAGCAAGAGTTCAAGGATGATGCTGAGGCCGAACTGGAGGCGATAAGGCAAGAGATACTGGCGTACGAACATCCCGAAGAGATTGTACGTTTGCATTTGTCAGAGGAGAATTTATGAAACGTTCAAGTTCCCACTACATGCTAGTTAGGAAACGCCTGATGAATAATATTTCTCAACAAATTTTCCAGACTGAGAAGCAACAGTGAAAGAAATGGAAAAAGCTGGCAGCTGCAGCTGGTTGCGGTTGGCACGAGGTAGGAGGTTTCCTTCACATTTTTTTTGGCACTTCCTGCCAGAGGCATATAACAACCCACAACTCATTTTTATCGATCCATAGCAAATCTCGACCGGAAATCACCTTTTTTAGAAATATCGTACTAGAACGCCCAATAAATACTAGTTTTTCAACTATTGTTGGGTCTTTCATGACACAAGCTTCTTTATACATAACTGAGACGCGCGTTGTGAAGTTTATAAGGCTAGTACCCCCCCTTGTCACAAATCTACTTTCTCAATCCTAACACCCCTTGACCTCGAGTCGCTCCAGCGCACCCTCTGCTGTTAACCCATGGCAAGCACGCATCACGCCAGCATTGTCGCAACGCCCCTTCTATTTGGAATCACTTACACTAAATAGAAGTTGCTGGTAAGCACGGGAGCGAAGAATTCAGAAAACATTCTCTCTTACTCTCGTCCGCGCACCCTCTCAACTCATACCTTCTACCTGTAGAGAACCTGATACCAAGACCACGCCCGCGAAAAGTATCGATCCCTTTATGGACCAAGGTTTCGATATATATGTATGGTCATTACCCCTCCTCTAAACTGTGCGCCCATAGCATGCATATAGTGAGCCGCGACACACCCAGGAAACTAGCACCCCCGTGAGCCAGCCCCCCCAAAGCCTCGAAGCCCCCACGCGACACTTGTCAGCGCACGTTACCGTACTAAACTGCCCACCAACGCGATCACATAAGACCGATTGGTAAGACATAAGATCTGACACTGCTGGCTTCGCATTCTAAGTCAAAACTTATTGAAATGCCATGAATTTGGCCACGGAGGACTCGATCCACCCGCCCGTGCCAGCGGTCATCACCCAGACCCTTAATCATATCTTCCTAACATCACACTCACTAGTCGCTAGAACGCTTAATTTTTTTTCCTTAGAAGCACTCGTCGGCCTCAAGCAGACTACGGGAAAAGTCGTGCACGAGGCCTAACCAGCATACGTGACATGCTCCGTCTTGCAAAGCTGTTAAATGTCTGGTCGCTCTCTATCAATATAAAGTCTTATTTAGGTAAATCAACGGATAGCTCAGCTTTCATATCAGTTGGACAAGATTCCCACTCAAATAGAAATGGCTCAGTATCAAAAACGATTGATAGAGTTGTACAATGAAAGTAAGCAGTTGCAATTTGAAAATTATAACTGATTGAGCAAAGCGCGTGACATACGACCATCCCTCTGTTTTATCTTAAGCCTACTTCTTTACCCACATATATACTTCCCATTTGAAACTCTGGGGCCGAAAAGTATTTCAATCCTCTTCCCCACGGGGATACTATCTCCCTGAATCCCTGATTCAACCTCTGGGTGGAACAAAACAAAGCGGTTGCGGATAGGACTAGCATCCGTCTGTTGTTTGATAAATAGCAGACATAGTTATCAGAGAAAAAGCCGACGTATACCCCTCAGGGAAAAGAGTGCTTCATCAGTGGAGGGTAGTAGCGCTGCTCTAACTGTCTGGCAGGTAGAAACACAGAGGTATGCTAGGTCCTATGACGCAACCCTTTTTTGTCCCCCCAGAGGATTGAATCAGAGGAGGGGGATATATCCCCCTGGATGGGGGTGGGAGGAGGATTGAATACCGCTCCTGGAATGATGCTTGCATAGTCAAGTCACCTTCTACTTCGTTTTCATTTCGAATACGTGAGTTCACGTTCTTCAAATAGCATCTTCTAAAGTAACTCGGTCGCAAGCGTATCGATTACTAACAAGTTCACCTATCAATCTGCATCTAGCATAGGTGTTGCTTGGTATGCTTCATGTGGTAATTTTCAAGTATGTAGATAATGTTTCAGTGGGGAGCAGAAATCGGCAAACCAAGCAATATATAACTCTACATAATACACTTCTGGATGTGAGGAACTATCTCAAGAAAGATATTGAAATGCTATCAAAGATCGAAGAAGTTCTGCCGTTGTAAGTGCATTCGATGTACTGATTTCTGATACATTATCTTCACCTACTAAATTGCCTAAATGACCCGGGTAGGACTGCTAAATATAGCGACTGCAGCTGGTCGTCAAGTATTCTTCATGGCTACCCCTGGTGTGGGTCAGGAGATCTCGATTCTAGTAGCATCAGATTTATTAAATCACTCCAGTTTTTCGCGATTGATGACTCATCTTTGCTGCGATCCAGTGCATATACTTCGCTAAGGCATCACTTGCGATATCCTCCCTTCTCGTGCTCAAGCATAATTTTGGATTTTGAGGATTTTGGGAAGGGTCGGAATTGTGCGTGCCATGGGATCAGCGTCGCTACTGATGCCATCGACCAGAGAGAATTCTATTGGTCATAATGGAAGGGGTCGTATCAGGACCTTCGTTAGAGGGAGTTGTATCCCTCGACGCGCACTTTTTATTCTGTTCACACTACCAGCCATCTGGTACATACACAGTCATCTCGTGTATACTCCGCGGAAGTGTTACAAACCGGCTTATCCGCAGTCAGCTGTCGTAGGCTGCCGATTAGATACACTTCCCAGCAGTAGTGAAGCGTTGTTATTTTGGCACTATCGTATACAAGAGCATCCTCTAGGACTAAAACTTAGGGGGTAGAAATGCCGGGAGAATGAAAATGGCTGGTGCACGCTGGAGTCTCTCTTCCCCCGCCTAAGGCTTAGTTCAGTTTCTAACAAAAAGCACATGTTTTCGTGTCTTTAAATGCATTACCACCACAGGGCACCCATATCTTCGATAGCGCCTTTATTTGTTCTTGTTTCAGAGCCAAAAAGGAGTCTTATCGGGAATCCTTTATTGAAAATTTGAAGAACTTCAATCACTCAGTCGAAGCAGTTCAGAAAAGGGTCAGTTAAGCTTTCGAAGATCTTTACTGAGGTGATTTTGATAATCATTGAACTTGGTGATTGCTTATGAAAGGCCTAAGCCTCGATGTGGGGTCATATTTCCCATAAACAGCCAGCGGCAAGCTCACGAATGCAACCTCAAAACTTACCAAGTGTTGAATATTTGCAGGTAAATGATCGAAAAGCCGCTTTAATGGAGGAGAAAACTCGTCTGACAGCTGAATATAACGAGTTGAATGATCAGAGGCGAGAATTCAATCGATTAGTGGAAAGGATGAAAGAAGTAAGTAAATAAGAGGATGCAGCTATTTTCCTCACTGGTCTCCTTCAAAGTCCTGTCCTCTTTTTTGTTTTGTATCAAACTTGGTTTTTAGCGCTATGTATTATACTTTCGGCACTATTTACCCTTTACTGCCCCACTCCTAAAAACCTGAGGTAGATTTTCCCCCGAAATTTACCATATACAGGGGTGGCCAAAAAAGAGACACTCACATTCAAAACGGAATTATTTACGCGTTGCGAAACCAAACCAAATGATCCCAACTGAATATTAAAGAGCACGTTATAATCTATCAACAAGCTACACAACAGCCTTCTACACCGACGACATCAGAAGATTTTCCCACGGAAGCATTGTGCACGGTACGAGCTCAACGAGGTCGTCGAGATACCATAGACGATTACGACGTCTCTGAAACGCTGGTCAAAAGCGGTTTTGCATAGTCACAGCTAGTGTCTCTGGGAAGCTATTCACCAGTTATC